GTGGAATAGCCAGGGACCAAACTGGCACCCTGTTGGATGCAGTTGTTGCTGGTGGTGGGTTACGTCATGACTCTGGCCTCTGGAATTTTCTAACAATCTTAAATTAACGAAGCGCTTTAGAGGTGCAATTTGAAGAGCTGCTTTTTTGTACCATTTAAGTAACTGATGTGATGCCCTATCAGCCCTAAATATTTTTGTGTGTTTCCTACAAACTAGGTCAGCTTCCCGTAGTACAAAAAACACAGGCATAAAATAAGGAAAATCATACTGATTCGCTTTACTGCTGTCTGGAAACAGCTGTTGGATAAGTTTTTTTTTTTTTTTAATATTTTTCTAGTAGTTTTTGAAAAGAGATTTAATCTGATCGTTATTATTCCATCTTGGTTAAAAGCAATTTCCTATATATTTATAAGGTAAGAAATTGTCATTTAATTTTTTCCCAACACATGTTATCAAATTATCCCAGCAATTAAAAAATGTTTCTTGAACTGAATTTTGTGGGTGATTCTATCTTTAGTGAATTCTTTTTTTTAAAAGGATTTATTTATTTTTTATTGGAAAGACAGATTTACAGAGAGAAGTAGAGACAAAGAGAAAGATCTTCCACCTGCTGATTCATTCCCCAAGGGGCCATTACAGCTGGAGCTGAGCTGATTTAAAGCCTGGAGCCAGGAGCTTCCTCTGGGTTTCCCACCTAGGCACAGGGTCCTCTACTACTTTCCCAGGACACAAGTAAGGAGCTGGATGGAAAGTGGAGCAGCTGGAACACAAACCTGCTTGCATATGGAATCCTGGCATGTACAAGGCAAGGACTTCAGCTACTGTGCCAGGCCCAATTTTGTATTTCTTAATGCTTACCCCGTTTCTAGTTTGTATACTCTGTCCCATGACTTTCTGTCTGTTCCTGTGGTATCATCATACTGTTATTATAGCGTTGTAACAAGTTTTGTTTTGTCTGGGAGATAGGGTATATCTAGGTTCCTTAGTTCTTCAGTTTATGAACATTGTGTAACTTGTCTGTTTGACCCTGTGAGCTTTTCATCTGTTTAGGTTGATTACATGTAGGATGTAAATTTAGGTCAGTAATTATGGATTGTCCTTGAACTCTTGGGCTCAGCCAGGCAGTCCCCTTGCCAGTTTGCAAGTGAAAGCCTGTTAAATGCAGTGTCAGTCGTGCTTTTTATTAGTGTAACTCTCAGAGCACCGATCATAGTTATTTTATATAGTACTTTATCATAAGCATTGTTCTATACCATTTCATTAATTCTTATGATTCTTATTTTCTCCAGTTTACAAGCACTGAAATTAGGGCTTACAGGTCAGAAAGTTGGTTCAGTTGCAAAGCTTGTATAGGAACCCAAGTATGTCCAGCGCCAGATGTCCTTAGCCGCGAAGCCACCCCACCCGCAGGCCTGCACATAGTTCCCAGATCAGGCTGCTATTGCCAACGCTGAGTCCCAGTGAACTTCACAAGATCTGTGTCGCAGTGGGTGACGTGGAAGGGAAAGCATGACTGAAACACACACACACACACACACACACACACACACACACACACACACAAACAGGTTTTCTTTGGATGACACTTTAGATGTACATTATAGCAAAGGCTCCATGCTACACTTAATAAAGAGTTTAACAAGCAAAACAAAAGATTTCTGGCTTATGTTTTTAAAACAGTGGCCTTTTATATGGACACAAATGACAGATATCTATACTTTAGGCAACAGTCACTAGGCAGACAGTTATCTGTACAGTGACTTCTGTAATCCTGAGACTGACAAGGGCCAGCTAATGAGTGGTTGCCAGTGGCTGTGATGGTCCTCTCATTGATGCCCACACAGGCATCACCATTCTTTCAGCTAAAACTACAAGACAAGTGTGAGTTGTCACACAATCTTATGGACTATCCTTTGACACAGTATGATATTGGAGGCGAGAAAATTTTCCGGTGACCACAGGGCAATAACTGTGACAGAATCTTTCTGAATTATACATGGTGAATTTACAAAAACATTATGTTGATGATTTTTATGTATGTTAATATTCCGCGCCTTGTAATGTGATTTTGCAACTGTTGCGGTCATTAGCATTTAAGAAGGCAGACTTAAATAATTCATTACTTAATAATAAAGCTGTGTTGAAACGTTGTGGTGTTTTAGTTGTTCTCAGTGGAGGCCAAGAGCCAAATTTGCTTCTGTGTATCAGTGAACAATGCATCTCTTAATCAAGTTTTAAAGAGAATTGTCCATAAATTAGAATTTGCATCTAATTTATGTTGTTTTTTCCTTGATGTTAGTTTAGATTTTGGAGTTTTTGCTTCTATTTTACCAATTGTGGGACAGTATACTTTTAGCAGATTATCACTTAGGATTTCTGCAGCCTCCGAGAGCCTGGTTGGAGTCCCAGCTGCTCTGCCTCCTCTGTGGTCTCCTGCCCTTGTACACCCTGGAGGCAGCAAATTGATGTCCAACTCATGGGGTCCCTGTCACTCACCTGGGAAACCTCTGTTGAACTTGACCTGTCTTGGCTGTTGCAGATATTTGGGGAGTGAATCTAACAAGCAGAAGGTTCTCGCCTCTTCTCTCTCACTCTCTCTCTTTGATCACACACATTCACACACACACACCCCACACCGACATTTATCCCAACACGCTGTCTCTATGCTTTTCAAATAAAATAAAAAGTAAAGCAAAGAAGATTTTACTGCTTCTTCATGCTTAATCTGAAATATAAAATGCCCTCTGCTCCCTCTCTGACCTCGTTTCTGCCCTGTCCTTTCTGGGCACACTTTTCTTTCCCTGGCCTTTTTGATGTTTCTCAAACATTCCAAGTGTGGTATCAGGCCATCATCATTGTAACTAATGCTTCCTTTCTCATGAAACTTTCTCTTCCTATGTTTCCTTGGCTTATTTTTACTTCCTTCAAGTTTTAACTCAAATGCTCTCTCTCTCTCTTTTTGAACGTATTATATATTTTTCTTGGGAAGGGAGATTTACAGAGGAGAGAGAGAGAGAAAGATCTTCCATCTGCTGGTTCACTCCCCAAGTGGCTGAAGTGGCCAGAGCTGAGCTGACCCATAGCCAGGAGCTTCTTCCCACCCAGGTGCAGGTCCCAAGGCGCTCTGCCATCCTGCATCACTTTCCCAGGCCACAGGCAGGGAGCTAGAAGGGACATGGAGCAGCTGGGATACAAACCGGCAGTGGGCCCTCAAATGCCATCTCTTTACAGAGAAATCTTTCTTGAAATGCTAGAAGGATTTTTGAGTATATCCCCTGATTCCCCAGCTTTATTTTTCTCAAAAGCAGCTTTCTATCTTATATCACATTGCTGTATTTTTTTTATAATTATTATTGATATTACCTGCTGGCAGGCAGAGGAGATCAGATTTTTTTCAAGATCTGTTCATTTGAAAAGCAGAATTTTGCGCATGTGCACACACACACACACACACACACACACACACACACACACAGAGAAAGAGAGAAATAAATATCTTTCATTTGTTTGGTTTGCTCTCTACATAACTGACAAAACTGTGGCCGGGACTGGTCCATGCTGAAGTCAGGAGCCAGGAGGCACATCCAAGTGTTGCACATTGGTGGCATGTGGGCCATCTTCCGTTGCTTTCACAGGTGCATTAACTGAGAGCTGCATTGCAAGTGCAGCATCTGAGTGTCCACACTGAATGCTGGCATTGCAGAAGGTGGCTTAACCCTCTTCACCATGAGACTGGTCCCCGGGGATTTTGTTTCATTCCTCACTGTAGTTCTTTCCTAAAACAGTGTTTACAATCGGTTAGCCTTAATCATTGGTTGGATAAATATAATGATGAATGAAGTGGGGTGATGAGCTCTTTTTTTCCCCTTTCCACTGATTTAATTATGGAAAGTTGAAAGCTGACTACATCATTGATGATGATGATGATGGTGGTGGTGATAATGGTCGTTAATTGTATTTTCTAAGGATGTGTTGGGTTAGAGCTTTTGTATAAAAACTCTCCCTTTTCTTCCCACATGTGTCATTCTCTTTGCCATCAAACCCTAGAGCCTTAGGCTGGCTGCCAAGGCCATCTACAATGTGGTCTGCTGGCTCTTCCAGCTTCCCTTTTCCCAGGTCCTCTCCCTGGTAGCAAACGCTGCAATCTGATGGCTTACGGTTCCTCGCATCGCCCTTTGTGGATGTCGGTGGCAGCTCCTCGCACATTTCACTGCTTCTTTATTATCTGTTTTTCTCATGGTGCATGGACTCTTCAGAGCAAGAGGCTTGTCTTGTCTTTTTGCTTTTAGAACCCAGGTGACGGGTAAACATATCTATTCAGTGCCAAAGGTAGTGCCCCCCACCCCCCGACTTAAAGACTAGTGGTAATATGAAAATGTTGATGTGACAACAAATGTCTCTTGCATATTTCTTCAGGGCCAAAGAGGGTCAAAAGAAGCACAGTATTACAATACCATAATTTTAGCAAAACCATATCTGAACTGAGAGTGATGCCCCATAACATGAGTAAATGAACATACTCATTGCAAAGAACAGCCTAAGTGAAATGAAGGGCTATTTACCATGTGTTATTTAGGAGGAAGTGGAGTCTTTTGGCAGTGGGCCGGCTATGGGAGCATTAGTCCTGTGATTTAGTTTGTGAGTCAGTGCCAAGCAGGTGCCCCTGGTGATAAGCCATGGTGGGGATTCAGGACAGGGATGGACACTCACCCTCTTGCTTGGTGTCCTGAGCCAGCCAGCAGGGGGAGTGCTGAGGGTGCACTTAGTGTTCACCCGCTGACCCTGGGTCAGGGGCAAAGAGAAGCAGGCACATCTGGTTGTAACTGCCGCATGGAAGGGGTAGCAAAATGGGTGTATTTATCACCCCTGGGTGATGGTTTGTGTTTCCCGTGCTGATTGGTGCATAATGATGTCTCTCTCATCAGATGGCCTACTGTAGCTGAATTGTGAAAGTATTTCATGTAGTTTTAGTAATTTCACAGACCTTTTGTCAACATCAGGTTTGCTGCAGAGAGAGCAGATGGCGGTCGAAGCCTTTCAGATCTGCTGCCTGCTGCTGCCTCCTGAGAACAGGAGGAAGTTACAGCTGCTGATGAGGATGATGACCAGGATCTGCCTCAACAAGGAGATGCCCCCGCTATGTGACGGCTTGGGCACGAGGACACTGGTAGGGTGGTTTTCCATTTCTGTTGTGACTTAAGTTTTTGGAATGAGACTCAACAGAGTGAAGTTTGCTAGTTTGGAAGGCCAGAGGGAGCTGCAAGGCCGACTTGCTGCAAGAGCCTTGGCTGGGTAGCCAGCAGACTGGCACTGTCCTAAAGAATCCTAGGAAAGGTAAAGAATGCGTAAGGAAGCAACGTAAGGTAGTGATGCCTGCTGTGTGGTTGAACTGATAACCTACCCTCGATGCAAAGAGAACAGATGAGGACTGCAAAGGCAAGTGGTAATTGCAAAAGCAGCGTTCTCTCCTACTCCTGAACAGAAAGCACTTTGTTAATATACCGGTTAGACAGATGCAGCACCACAGATTAAAGAGAAGAAGCAACATACACAGTTGGGCTAGATGGGCTGGGAGGAGAGAAGACGCATATGTCCCCAGGTGGGGTCTAAGGTTCATAAGTGAGGAGATGTTTTAACATTTTCTCCGGTCCACTTGGAAAACACCTGCTGGATTGGAACTGTACTTATAACATCAACATGTGAGATTTATTTTTAAACTGATTTATGCTTTAATTGAGAACTAATAGTTATATATACATTATGGACTATAATGTGTTTTGACATGAACACAGTGTAGACCGATTAAAACAAATTAACTTTGGCTGCACATCACCTCACCTGATGATCTTTCTTTTTTTTTTTTTGTGGCAAAATGCACTCTTTCAGCCATCTTGCAACATACATTATGATCGGTTTGCTTACAACACTGTGCTCTAGATCTCTGTAATTTCTCACTGGAAGTTGGTACCACATTCTTACTTGTCTTCTTCCCCACCCTCTGTGCTATAAGATAGTTAGAACTTACTGACTAATAAAAATGTGTTAATTTTCCTCTACAAGAAAGCCTTGGGGGCAACATTGGTGACTCATGGGCACATGTGTGCTTCCCAAATCCTTGTAAAGCAGTGGAATTCCCAGGAGCCTGCCCTGGGCTGAGCCCTAGAGTTAGGGCCAGGAGGAGTGGAGCGCTCAGCAGTTCGGCACATCCTTGCATGGAGTAGATGGATGGGCAACAACAGACCTCTGGGAAAAGCTGAAGGAACTCAGCTCTCACTCCCCATCAGGGTCTCCATGTAAAATGAGCATACAGTTTGAAGGTGTTCCCAGCTTCCCCAGGGTTCATGGGCTCGAAACCAAAGCTCTCTGCCCGTGTGTCTCTCTGGACACAGAAGTGAGAGTGAAGATGATTCATCAACTGCAGGGTGCCAGTGAAATGCATGATATCACATTCACAGACTTTGGAGTAAGATTGTCCTAAAGGAAGTTAATGTGAAAGGGAAGAAAAAGGAGACCCAAAGGATAGTGTTAAGAAAGGAGTGGTTGGAGCCAGCATATTGGTAGAACTAATTCTCTCCTTGTAGCACCCACATCCCATATGGATGCTGGTTTAAGTCTTCACTGCTCCCCTTCCAATTTAGCTTGCTACTAATGCCCTGGGAAAGCACAGAGGATGGCCCCAAAGATTTGGGTCCCTGAACCCACTTGAGACTTGGAAGAAGCTCTTTGTTCCTGGCTTTGAACTGGTACAGCTCTGGCTGTTACAGCCACTTGGGGAGTGAACCAGGGGGTGGAAGATTTCTTTCTCTGTCTGTCTTTCTAATTCTTTTCAATAAAAATAAATAAACAATTTTTTAAAATGGAGCAGTTAAGATGAACGCTATGGAAATAATACATATTTTTGTGTTTGATTGCTGTGGAGTATCATCATTCAATTATTTCCATAGTCTCATGGCTTTGTTCAAAGGTGATTGTTAAAAGTAAATCCGTAACACTAGAGAAAGCAAGTTTACTAGGAAAAGATGCACTGATTGAGAAGCCAAAGTTGTTTGTAGGTATATATTTTTAAAATTGATGATAAAGATGTTATTTGACTGAATAGTCATAAAGAACTTTAAATTTCAAAGTTTCAGTGACCCAGGTCATGGCAATAATATCCAATATGTGTATGTGTGTGTGTGTGTGCACGTGTGTGTGTGTGTGTGTGTGTGTGTGTGTGTGTGTGTGTGTGTGTGCACGTGTGCATGTGTGTGTGTCTGGACCTTGAAAAGGGGGATATCTTTCAAAATTGCATGCTCTCTATCTACTAGAATTCTTACAAGGAAGAAGCACATTGTGTTCGAGCGGGGCTGATGAAGACAGCCGGCTCGTCCGATGGCCAGGTCCCTGGTGTGGTGTGTGCCCTGTGCCCTGGGCCATTTCTCACTGACTGTTCATGTGTTCATTAGAAACAGATGACAGTAACTTCAGGATGGGGACAAAACTCACTTACCTCCCTGTTTGCAGATGGTGCAGACATTCTCCCGCTGCATCTTGTGCTCCAAGGATGAAGTGGACTTGGATGAGTTACTGGCTGCTAGGTTGGTGACGTTTCTAATGGACAATTACCAGGAGATCCTGAAGGTGCCCTTGGCTTTGCAGACCTCCATAGAGGAGCGTGTGGCTCATCTCCGAAGAGTGCAGGTAAAGGAGACAAGGAGGTCAGCCTGTGACCGGCAGTGAAAGTCACGTAAGCTCACCAGGCCTCTTGGGGCAATCTGTGATGTGGATTAGTGTGTACAAAATGCTTGCAGTAATTCTTGGCACCTAGTAAATATTAGAAGTAACTGCTGTTATTAAAAAATGTGTGGTTGCACACTTGGTTTTCTTATGTCACTGATATATAATTATCATCTTAATACATTCAAAACATTTTGGAAATGTAGAAAATGCATACCAACAAATACCAGAATTGTTCATAGTTGGTATTAAAGTCTCTTAGGTAGTTTTTTGGCCTGACTTTCCTTCTTTCTTTACTCTTTTCTCTCCTCTCTCTAGCTTTCCTTTCTCCTTGTCTCTTTCTTGTAACTCATTTTTTCGTAATAATACATAGATAAAAATTTCTCACAGCAGTGAATGTTACGGAGTGACAATAGAGTGGCTGAGAACACAGACTCTGGTGATAAATGGTGCGTGAAATCCTGATGTGCCCTGCATTATCTGTGTGACTCAGACCACATTTGCTCTAATCTCTCTCTCTCTCTCTATTCTTATGCAAAATAGGAATAAAGGTAATTAATACATACGTCATAGTCTTATTTGTAGGATTGAGTGGTTTAATACATGGACAATGGTTGCAGGAGTATTTATCACATAGTAAATTTTCAACTAGTGACTGCCTTTTGTTCTGTAGCTAACTTTTTAAGATGATATTTTCTGGTCAATATTTAGATTATCTTTATTTTTTGAAACTACTTTATAAGCAACATGACAACAACTATTCTTATAGCTAGTTTCTTTTTCATTTAGCCATGATTAGTTTCTAGGAATGAGTTCCTGGGGGTAGCTTGCTCAGAGGCCATGAGCGTATTGTATTGATAGCATGTTGTCTTGCTTCCTTTATAGATTGATTGATTGATTTGATTTCCATTGGTGTCACTGGTGTAAGAAAATCAGTGTTCCATTTTTTTTACATTTTTGTCCACTTTGCATATTATCACTAACAGACATGTATAACTTTGCTGCCGTAAGTTTTAAGGATGAAAAGTATAAATTTTAGTGATGTTTTAGTTTAATCCTTTTTCCCACAGTGTTTTATGAAGGTACACGTAGGCAAAGTAAAATAAAAAGAAAGAAGAAGAAGAAATGCTTCCATTGAATTTCTGTGGGGAGTGTTGTGGCCATGACCTTGTTGCTCCGGATGCTTGCAGTCTGTATTCTCCCGTACGGAGTGCAGGCCTTTCTCAAAGCAGCTAAACACTGGAACCATTGACTGTCCATTGAGGATCAGAAGGCTGAGCTGTGACCACAAGGATTAACGTAACTGTGGTTAAACATGATCTTGTGAAGAGATGAGTCTGGAAGCACTCAACTGACCGACGACTTCTCTCTTATAGAAGTGCTCAGTATAATTGCTGGGCCTATAGATACATTCTCTTGAATAGGCTACTAAGCCCCTGCCTGGTGTTGATTTCAGAACACTGCTTCTTGGAAAATGTAGTGTTGCTTGGGCTGCTAACAATGGATTGTCTGGGGGCAATGCCAGCCAGGTCTGACTCGGATAAAATTGGGAGGTAGACAGGGTTTTTGATACGAGCCTTCTGTGGGCCTTGTCTCACCCTCTTCTTGTGTCCTTCTGTCTGGGCACCTAGGGTTTTCCTCATGCCCTGGACTCTACCTGTTGCATTCTGCCTGGCCATCCATCAACTTTGTTCTCACCTTTTTTTGTTTTTCCCTACCGTTCTTATTTCCAACAAAAACAGATCCTGTGTGTAGGTCCCTTTCCCCTGTGGTTACGGTTTGTCTGCCTTAGATTGCCTTTATTTGATCGATTAAGCTGCTATTGAGGCACGGAATGTGCTTAATATAATAACCCCTCTTGACAACATATTCATTTTAGCTGTTGCTTCTGGGAAAAAAATATCTTGGATAAGGAGTAAATGTAATAGTCAATTTCATCTTCTGCTAGAGAATAGGAGGGTGCAATAGTTTCAAAAATGCTCTAGACTCTGAAAGGAACTATTTGGGGTGGCTGTTTATTTCTTGATAGGCCTTGTTTTCCATTTCCCCCCACATCTCTCCCTTATCGCTTCCACCTCATGCAGGGCCCACACGGTTGTTGTCTTCACTTGATTCTCAAGTAAAACTGGAGGTGGGCATGGCTCCTCTGTCTGCAAACCACTAGCTCAGTGCAGGTCTCTGTCTGTTCCCAAAGAAGTGGGGTGGGGGAAGCATCCCTGGCCTGTGGCAGGAAGAGCCTGGATAGTTCCAAAGAGTGAGAGTGGGATCTCCCAGCTGCTGGGCCAGCTGCTGGGTCAGTCCTGCAGTAGCCAGGACTGGAGCAGGCTCAAGCTGAGAGCCAGGAGGAGCTCATTCCGTGTCTTCCACAGGGGACTCGACTACCTGCTTCCTGTCGGAGTGTGCACTGGCAGGAAGCTGTAGTCAGAGCTCTGAGTGGGACTTGAAATCAGCCTCAGAAAGGAGCCCCCAGGTGCCTGACTGACAGGCTGAGATGCCCCGCCCTCAGAACTGCTCTGTAATGGTTTAATGTTTCAATTGCAGATCTTGTTAGAAGAGGCAAAGGCTGTTGATTAAAATGCATATTCAGGTTGTAAAAGCGCAACTTTTCTATTTGAGCCTTTGGCTTCAAATGTTACTATTTGAAAATCACAGAAATACTTTTATTTTCAGTAGAAAGCTTTCCCCAGATTGGGGAATGACATGGCACTCCTCCTGGAGGACGTGTTCTGTTTGATCAGTAAGGGTGTTCATGGTTCATTTGTCAACACATCTTTTTGTTTGACTGCAAATCTTTTTGGCTCAGATAAAATACCCAGGAGCTGATATGGACATCACTCTGTCTGCCCCATCATGGTGTCGTCAAATTAGCCCAGAAGAGTTTGAATACCAAAGAGCATACGGCTCCCAGGAGCCGCTGGCAGCCTTGCTGGAGGAAGTCATCTCAGATGCCAAGCTCTCCAACAAAGAGAAGAGGAAAAAGCTGAAGCAGGTACTGTGATTGCTCTCCATATGACACCCCCTCACATCCCTCCTACTGTGTTATGTTGTTTTCTATTTTAATAGATTCCTTCTAAATCTCTTCTGAGACATAGCAGTTTAAAAATGCATTATTCCATGTAAGATTCCAGCAGTCTCTGTGCTTACACAGTTCGGATCAATTTCCCCGATTTTCTGTATCATTCAATGTAGATCTTCGCTATTCTTGAGCTCTTCATTTATCAGGTTGTTCTCTAGTGTTTGTCCTTTGGTTTGCTAGGAGGTATAATGTGAATTCATGAAGCAAGTACTTCAAATTCCATGAAGTCATCCATGAGGAGGACAGGTTTCTTCTGATTTATCCAAAAGGCAAAGCAGGCAGAGTTCATAAATGTAAGGTGTCCAGGATTTAAAAGCCATTGGTTTTAGACAGCCAACGTCAAGTCCGTTTGTTCCCTCCGGCATCTCTTAGTGTTTAGATCCAGTTATGTGAGGTTACAGCATGTAGGATTTCAAAGGGTAGTTTGCAATTCAAAATAGTCTATGTTGACCATTCTTAAATACAGACCCACAGTCAGGAAATTTTTTTCGGGGGTGGGAGGCAGGCAGTTGGACACATGGAGCACCGGACTGCTGTTTCACTCCCCAAGTGAGACTGGGGGAATCAAAACTGGGAGCTGAGAGCTCAACACAGCTCTCTCAAATGAGAGGCAGGGAACTAACCTCTTAAAACAACATCTCCCCGAGTTATCATCTGCAGCAGAGTAGAGTCAGGAAGCAGAGCAGTCATCCAAACCAGGTGCTCTGATACAGACGTGGGGGGTCAAAACTGCTGGACTGACTCCCTGTTCCCTGAATTTGCTTTAAATCCTACACAGCTAGATTCCACGTCAACCCAATATAAAACATTAGAGGGCCCAGTGCAATGGCTCAGTGGCCGAATCCTCACCTTACAAATGCTAGGATCCCATATGGGCGCCGGTTCAAGTCCTGGCTACTCTACTTCCCCTGCATTCTCAGGTGTTTCCTAACCAGCAGGCTCCTCTGACCACTGAGGGGGTGAGAAGGTGTGTTCTGCAGCACAAACCACCAGAGACAGTCTGATCGAGCAAGTCCGTTGTAGAGACTAAGAAAGGAGAAGGCAGAAGGACGTCTCCCAACAGTCCTTCCTCCCAACAGCTCTGCAATTGCCTAGAAGGCATGTCTGTCTCTCTGGACCCTCCAGTCATGTAACAGGTCATGTACAACACCCATGGCTGGCAGGTAGAAGACGGCCCAAAACCTTGGGACCCTGTAGGAGTGTAGGAGACCCTGTGTAGGAGACCCGGAGGAAGCTTCTGGCTCCTGGCTTCAAATTGGCCCAGCATTGGCTGTTGTGGCCTCTTGGGAAGGCGAACCAGAAGATGAAAGATCTTTCTCTCTGTCTCTCCTTCTCTGTAAATCTGATCTGCCTTTCTAATAAATATACATAATCCTTAAAAAAAATTTATTTTTAAATTTCACTAGAATTCTGCTTAGTCCTACTTCCCTCACAGTAATGTTAGGAGTAATGTGCTGAGTATCAAAGCACGAATGTATTACCTCTCTTTTAGCTTTTCATAAAGTAATACGTACTAGAATGTTCTCTTCTAACTTCTACTTGGGCAAAAGCTGGTGGGGCCAAGTTGGAGAAGCACAGAGATTCTGAGATGTAACTGGGCCAGAATTTACTTTAGAATGTAAGAAATTTTCAAGCCAGAGGTACTTGTAGATATTTTTAAAGCCAAGTCTATTTATAGCTGGTCAGTGGGGAAAGTTTTAAGAAATATGGCTGCGAGACTTTTATTTGAAGATTGAAATTAGGAAAAGGTATATTGGATATGTAGAAATTCTAATCAAACGAGTTGGCAAAAATAAAAGAAAACAAGGAAAATATGGGGTCAGGACAGGCTGTCCAATTTTATCTCTGACATTTCTTGCACATTTTTTTCATTAGTTTCAGAAATCCTATCCTGAGGTCTACCATGAACGATTTCCCACAGCAGAAAGCGAAGCACTTGTGTTTCCTGAAAAACCCAAGCCCAAACCACAGCTGCTAATGTGGGCGCTGAAAAAGCCTTTCCAGCCGTTTCAGAGAACGAGGAGCTTCCGGCTGTGACCCTTCCACTTCCGCAGCGCCATGGGCCAGGGGCCTCTGTTGGTCTGGAGACAACACGTTCTTCATGAGGAGGATGTTGGTGTTGGGAGAGGGAAAAATAGACTACTGAAATCTAAAGACTAACGTTAAAAAAAAAAAAAATCCTGAGCCATTATCAGTATTTCTGTAGAACTCGAGTTGTTTTAAATGTGTACAAATCAATTAAAAAGATGCAAGTCCACATCTAAGTGTCAAATGAACATGTTTATAATTGTTACACAATCTGCTTCAAGTATTTTACCATTGATTTTTGTTGCTCTCTTGGTGTTTATAACAGTTGTGTGTATATCTTGGGTGCCAATGTCTCAGTTATCACCAAGTCCTGGGTGTGACATGCAGTCTTGAAGAAGACAGACACAGGATACTGTTAACTCTGATGTTGTTGGCTTCGTGGCAGCAGTCATTTCTCCTGTGTACCTTACAGTTTCCATTATTACACAGAAAATGTCAGTGTCTTAAATCCTGATGGCTGAGCTGGATGCTAGAACAGGCAGATGCTAGGGCCGATTTTCCTGGAGATGGTTCCTTTAGAACGTGTCTGGGAGTTGCCATTTACCTGTAAGTGGAATAACTTTTCATCTACCCACCAGGGTATAAACTCACTCTTGGCTAAAGCTGGAAGGTTGAACTGTACAAAGGCTTAGATTCCTTTAGTCCTATGATCTGTGTGTGTGTGTGTGTCAAATCTGCTTTATTTTTGTAAAAATGAATATGAGCTAAGTAAAATGTGATTATTTTCTTTATAAATATATTTTTCCATCTTCTTCATCCCTTTCAAAGTAAATGGAATGGAATGTAAATAAATGCTGGGGTTTTGTTCTGTGTTTTGTGTTGTCCCATACATTGTATTTCTCTTTTGGTGATTTATTTAGAACAGTTAGCATTCTCTGCCAGGGTTCTCACTTTAGTCATTTATTTCCAAAAGAAAATGAGCATTAAGGTGTGGGCTTTGGGACTGGCTCTGGGAGGGCACTTACACACTTACAGAGGGGTCATGAGGCTAAGGTCCTTGTGGGGATAAACCTCCCGAGGAGGGCATGCCACTTTTCCAAATGATCCCACGTGCACATCCGGCAACAGTGCTCAATGTCCCCACCCAAAAGGGCCATTTTAAGTGTAGAGAGATGTCATTAGTGTCTGATTGTGGCTTTTCTTTGTGTTTGCCTGATTGTTAATATGGCTGAACAGTATTCCCATATGTATTTAGACTTTTGTAGAGATTGTTTTCCAAAGATTTATTTATTTGTTTATTTTATTTCAAAGGTAGAGTTGCAGAGAGAGAGAGAGAGGGACAGAGTTAGAGTTCTTCCACCTGCTGACTCACTCCCACATGGCTGGAGCAATGGACAGGGATGACCCCAGCCTAACCTGGAATCTAGGAGCTTCATCCAAGTCTATCACATGATTCAAGGGCCCAAACACTTGGGTCATTTTCAGTTGCTTTTCCCAGGCTGTAAGCAGGCAGCTGGATCAGAAATGGAGCAACAGGGATGTGAACTGGCGCCCATATAGAATGTCAGATCTGCATATAGTGCCCTTACCCGCTGTGCCTTATTGCCAGCTCCTAGAGATCACATTTAGGAATATCTTCTAGAAAGGCTCTAACTTACCACTTACCTGTCTGCCTCCCTCATTCTCCCCAGCTTGCGTCCTGGAAAGCCAGGTGCTATTGGGAGTACCCAGTGGAGAATCCAACCAACTGTGGGACTGATGACCTGTCTATGGCCAGCCAGGACCTGCCACCGGCCATCATTTGTGGAAGTGATCTTGAAGTGGACTTTCCCTTAGGAGGGCATTGCAGTGGTTCAAGGCACAGATGACACTGTCATCATAGCCTTTCTGAAAATCTCAAAGCCAGAAGTCCAAGCTAAGCTGTGCCTGGGTTCCTAAGTCAGAAAAATTGTGAGATAATAAATATATGTATTTTAAGATTTGTTTTATTCTTATTTGAAAGTCAGAATTATAGAGAGAGGGAGAAGAAATGACACACAGAGAGAATTTCCCATTCGCTGGTTCACTCCCCAAATGGCCACAATAGCAGGAGCTGGGCCAGTCCAAAGCCAGGAGCCAGGAGTTTCTTCTTGATCTCCCATGTGGGTGAAACAGCCCAAAATTTGGGCCATCCATCCTTTCCTTAGCTGCTTTGCCAGGCCACAGGCCAGGAGCTGGCTCAGAAGTAAGTGAAACATCAGGACTCGAACCGACGTCCTGTGGGGTGCCAACATTGCAGGTGGAGGCTTAGCTTACTACGCCGTGGTACTGGCCCAATAAATGTTTTAACCCATGTAATTCAGGAGTAAGTTGTTACAAGACAGTAAGTATGCTTAATCTTTATATATCCTTTATTTTCTTCCTTCTTCTCTTCCTGCCCTGTGTCTCCTTTTCTCATTCCCTCACTTGCTTTCCTTTTCCTTGTTTCATCTCAAGGTCCTCGGGACTTCCGTTACGGCGTGACGCTGAATACAAGTGCACTTGGGAGCCGCCGTCTTGTTCCTGATTTCAGTGGGACTGTTTTTAGTAAGTTTTCTATTCCTTAGTTGCCGAAGCAGTTTTTTGTCTGTTTTAATCATAAGTTTTTAATTCCCCTTTTGCATTTATAAAAGAATTTTAGAAAGTTTCATCCTTTATTCTGTTATTGTGGTATGTTGCATTAGTTAATTTCTCATATCAAACCTTGCGCTCTGAACTCTGTATGATGCCGTGTAGAACAAGCTGTGACATTGTTTTAGCACATAGCTCAATGATGTTGCTCATGGTTGTGGAGTAATTATCATATCTATGTTCATGAGTAAAGCTGAGCCCAGGACTGGGTTTCTCATTATTCTTTCGGAGTTTCTGATCAAGGTTGTAAATTAAGCTACAGATTGTTCCTTTGTTTATTTGGCTCTTGGCTGAGGCTTCTGTAGACTTGGTGAAATCATATATATGTTTTCTAGTCAACATTTTACTGTTGATTTTTGAAATAATTTCCATGATGTAAAAAGCATGGTTTGTGAAATTTGTTGAGATTTGTTACACGGCCTAGCATTTGGTCGTTTTTGTTACTGTTCTGTGTGGACTTGAGAATATGAATTTATACTTACTGTATACAATCATTTTCTCTATATGAAGCGTTGTTCAAATTGTTTATGTTCTTAACTTGATTTTATGCAGCTTTTGTGTGTTTGTGATGACATTCATTATAAATTTGTCCATCTTTCTGAAAGACCCTTCTTTTAACCATTATGTAATGACACCCTCTGGTGACACATTAATTTGTGTCTTTCCTATATCCTTGTATTTTAGATGTTTCCCTTCCTAAAACCTTTTCTTTTAAAAAAAAAATTAATTTATTTTTATTTGAAAGCCAGATATACAGAGAGAGAAGGAGAGACAGAGAAAAATCTTCTGTCTGTTGGTTCACTTCCTAAGTGACCACAATGGCCAGAGCTATACTGATCAAAGCCAGGAGCCAGGAGCCTCTTCCATACCTCCCACGTGGCTGCGGATCTGTATACTGTCGTTGCATGCCTGGATCATAGGGTCTGGGGTTTTTTTTGGTTTTGTTTGTTTTTTCCCTTTCATTTTTTGAGGAGCTTTGATGCTGTTTTCTATAACCAGCTTGTAATTTTTAGAACTCTAAGTTTTAAAATTTCTTTTAGATTTGCACTAGTTTCCTCGTGCTGGCTAGCTTTGCCAAATCCATTTCCACTTTCTTCTGGTCACTTTCTGCAGATCCATGCTGAAGAGCTGTCAGTGAGCTTTCCACATGCTTACACCAAACAGGAAGGCAACAGTGACGAAAACAGGCTTCGCAGGTCTATCAGCACAGCATAGTGGTGCCTTATTCAGAGGTACACTTTTAATGTATGTTTTATATATAATTGGTTTAGGGATGACTAGTGGGCCGTGTCCTGAGCATTGCCATTGTTCTGAGAGTTTCGCATAAGAAATTTATCAAGTGAGTATCCCCTATTAAAACATTGAGGAAGCTTTTCAGGTCGGCACTTGGTGTCCGAGCCGGGTGATGGAGTGCAGCCTTGCTCTTGCCCGTCGTTGTGCCCCTGACTCTGCCTTCCGCGAAGTCTTACCTGGGAACCTAGCGAATGAAACAGACTCCGCGGATCGCAACTTAACACTAGTGCCATCCAGGGTTTGGGTCTGATGCCAACACCTAAAAGAGTTTCTGCACATTCTTGTAGGGCATATTAACTTGAAAAGGAACCTGTCTGCGTGTGAGCCACTGGGCCCCCATGCTTTAAGAGGGAGTCAGCCGAAGCAGTATGGATGGGCCTTGTAATATATCATGTTTTCTTTCATCCTGAAGAACCAGTGCTAGAGATGTCAAGAGCTAGAGTATCGTAAGAATGTTATCATCTACTAAAATCAGTGAGAATGAGGGTTCTGTTCATATCCATCATCACAACATTTTGAAGCACTCATGTAAGAATGAGACAGAGTGGGCTCGGCACGGTAGCCTTGTGGCTTAAGTTCTCACCTTTCTCGTGCCAGAATCCCTTATGGGCACCAGTTCTCATCCTGGCAGCCCTGTTTTCCATCCAACTCCCTGCTTGTGGCCTGAGAAAACAGTCAAGGACAACCCAAAACCTTGGGACTCTGCACCCATGTGGGAGACCCAGAAGAGGCTCCTAGCTCCTGGCTTCAGATTGGCTCAGCTCTGTCCATTGTGGCCCCTTGGGGAGTGAGTCATCGGATGGAAGATCTTCCTTTCTTTCTCTCCTCTTCTCTGTGTATCTGCCTTTCCAATAAAAATAGGTAAAACTTTAAAAACAAAAGAATGAGACGTAGAACATTTTAATGTTGACACAGTCATTTTTTGCCTTTTTGTTTTGTTTTGTTTTTGTCTATGGCAGCATGCACAGCCTAGAAAAAATATTATACCTTGGTACCTTGGCAGTTAGGGTCTTCCAGACAAATGCATTACTATGAAACTTGAAGTGTGATTATTTTTTCTTGAATTATTTGCTCATAGGTAGGTGTTCGATTTGAAATTTTGGATCTAGAATCATTTTAATAAGCAAAATTTGCTCATTTTTTAATCAACTTGCAAATGTATTTATTACCTATTTTTAAAGAACAAATTGCTACCTGTGATAAGGGAAATACTCATTGATTTAACAATATGAGGAGTGCCTTCTGGTGATTGTGAGTGGTGTGTGTTAGAGGATATTACTAGCCTTAATGCTTAATCATTCCATGTAAAGAAGCAAAAATGGGTCCCATGATGGGCCAAGAGAATACTAACCTAATAAAAACGAAAGCCGCTTTCAGTTCAGTGCATGTTTGTGTTGTTAAAATAATGTTGCATAATTTCCTAGTAAATCTGAAACTTGGTTTGAAATCACTCTTGACAATTTCTTTAAAAATCCCACCTTGGAGAATTGTTGAATAAATTGATTGTTTGATTTGAAAATATAGAATATTTTAGGTTTTCCTAAAATGTCACCAACTGTGCCTATCTCGACATGGAGGAGAATCTATATGTTTGGCCAAATCCACTTGCTCTGTAATCCCCCTGCTGGGGGTGCTTGTCGTAGCTGAGATTGCAGTGTCTGGAGCCGTGTAGGCTCACAGCAGCTTTTCCCCGCTCTTCCAGCACCAGGGAGAAGTGGGGCATGTTGCTGCTGGCAGTTCTTGAAGATTGATAACAAGATGGTCTTCTTCGATATGTACTAGATGATGCTTTATGCCTAGCAAAATAGACAAAACCTTGTTCTTAAAAAAGATACAGCTAGTGATTATATAATTTTCATGAGAAATAAGCAGACTGCAATTGATATTTAACATTGAGGTACTTTTTTTTAAAAAAAAAAAAAAACCACTCCAGACCAATCCAACATGGGAATGTGGAGGCCTTTTGCTCACTGTTCCCACTGAGAACGCATGACCTTTGCAGAGCCTGGCAGTGAAAATTTCAGTGATCATTGACCAAGATAACAGAAATATTTCCTGCTAAAAATAGGGATGCAGGATAGCGTACAGGCTGGCACCTCCTGAGAGCTCCTCGTTGGAGTCTCTGTCTAGTCGCTGATGTCCGCTTTTGGGTCTATCCTTTATCCGGTGTGTTTCCGATTCAGAAGTTACTAAACACCATGGGAGAGAAGTGCTGAGCATTGCCATGATGTGGCTGAAAGCTGCTTTGCATGAGATCTGAACCACTTTGATGGAAAGCTCAGAGGAAACGGCAAATGAAATCAGCCTGGTGATTCTGCACAGTATTTTTTTAAATTAAATCTGGGGTTTTGTCCATATGCAGAATTGTCCTAACAATTCTGATCTTTCAAAAGCTTTTTGATACTTAGAACAAATTTAAAGACTTCCCTCAATTGGTTTTTTTAGGGCAGTCAAATATGATTGGGATAATATGGCTTCACTGTCTTAAGCCAGCAGTCCTCTGAAGTGACAGTGAACATTTAAAACACACACTGACATCATTCTAAGTTTCTGTAAGCCTTCGACTTACCAAAATGCCACGTGTAATTAGACACAGTTACTGTTTCAGGAGGTGAAGGTTTTGCTTTCAGAAAGTTCTCTCATTTGCTTTCAGAAAGAACAGTGTGATGATGTTTGAAGGCCCTGGGTGATGGCTGGTGGATCGTCTTTCCTTTTCAGCTGACCAGGACGGGTGTTTCCAGCAGAGGTCAGTCTTGTGTTGGTAGTTGAACCTTAGAAGAAAAACCAGAGATTTTCTTTAAAAGTCTAGTGCATTTTCTACATTTAGTAAGCCATGTTTTGGAAAGAAGAGACTTCACAATCAGTCATCTTTATGGTAACAAACAGCACTTGAGGGCAATATGTTTTCCTTTGTTATCATATTTTCCCTCTGAAAGCCCCAAAAGGCTCAATTGCTTATTAAATCTCTCTAAAAGTGGGTTATACATAAAAGAAATGAGCAATTATCTAAATACAACAGCAGATAATTTGGGGTAAATGTCAGATCATTCGATTTTAATGTGAAGAAAGAAATTGCAGAATTCAACTCCAGAAGAAAAGCCTCGAAGTCCGATGAGTCTGCAGTGAGCCCCCTGCCTTAGCCGTTTGCTCTGCACCTTGAAATAACAGTCTTTCCTTGAGATAAGCCTGGTTTTAGTCCTCAGACCCATATTTCTGTTTTGCTCTCTAAAGCAAGGATTTTGTAATAAATGCAGAGGTGACCATCTGGGATAAAGCTCATGTTCAGCACTAATGCCTTTGGAGTTGATGCCAGTGAACAGGAAACAGTGAATAAGCACAGCCCAGGAAGCTCCTTCCAGGGTACCGAGCTGGCGACTTGTTGGATGCGGCCTGTGCAGCAGGAGAACAGTATGCTGGCAATAACGGCTATGCCACCGAGAGCCTAAGCAGGCTTCCGTCTCCCACGCCTGAAACAAGCAGGCACACAGTGCATGTGCTGTGCAAATCTGATTGCAAGGTAAGACTCCTTTCCTTCCAGCTGACTTACTAGCTGAGAGTCACTTCCAGGAGAGTTGGGAGCACCAGGGTTGGCTGGCACTGAATGGATTCTACATCCTGTAGCACTGCTGGTACACAGTCAGGGTTAGCAAGCTTTGATTCTCTTTCCAACAGTGTGAAGGGCTGGATTCTGAGCTCACGCATGCTGGGTGTTTTTCAGGACCAGGGAGCTCAAAGTGGAGAGACCAGTGCAGAGATGGGGTGTGTGGGCCCTCCTTATAACACAGTGTTTGTTAGCAGACAAAAGGTTGAGTGCTCCTCTTTGGGCGAACTTATGCTAGACACACAGTTGGAGATACACAGCCAAATGGGAAGATGGGATCAGAGTGGTTCCAGCAGTTCATGTAAAACTTCACCTCTTGTTCTCTCTCTGGTGACCAAACCAAAGTCCTGTCCCCCACAGGCTAGGTGTGTAGGCTTCAAAGAAGAGGCCTAAGTGTGGCTCCTGTGTCTTGTGGTCCTGTCCTTTTTCCCTGACCTTCTCCTTCGAGCTTACACATTTCTGAACATCACCTTTAAGACATATTGTAGGAACTAGCGACAAGAAGAGGCGACTGACCCTTCCGCTTCCTCCAGGTAGTATCAATGGTTCCAAGTCGTATCTGGCCGACATCAAGGAGTGGCCTGGAAGGAGATTTCATGAGCTATAGCAGATTTTGTTTTGTTTTGGTCTGTTTTTGTTTTTGTAACATCTCTCAGCCTCTCGAACATGGATTCTTTTTCTGTGTCCAGATCCCAGGGCTAGCTGGAATTAGTTTTTGGTCTTGTTTAGGTTGCTGCTACATCATGATTTCTCATTTCAAGTCATCACAGGGCATGCTGTGTCTTTATTTGAGTGTTTTTGCAATGGCGGCAATGTATTGTTGACACTGGTGAACCTGCCTTGTGTTTTTATTTAAAAGGGTGGTCCTTTTGTTGCTGACTTCTGTTTTTCCATCACTAGCCTGATAATCCATGCCCCTGGGTCTATACTGTTCCATTTCATAATGTTTAATGAATGTTAGAATTGGCTCTGCAAATGCATTGCCTTAATCTTGTTGCCTGCAGTGAGATGCTCTTAATATTGTCTCCACATGAGCCCTCCTTGTCTGCCTTTGATTTCTATGTGCTTAATCCCCTACTCATGTAGGAAGCCTTCCCTTGCATCCTTTCTTTTCAATAATTTGCTTTTTGGCATTCAGTGAAGACATCCATCACAATAAGTGGTCTTTTCCTGGCTTGTATTGCCTTGTGTTTATATAAAGCAGGTCCCCTTTTATACTATTATGAATGCTTACAGTGGTTTTCAGCAGCTTGGGAAGCTGAGCGTGGAAAATGACACAGAGTTTCACGTTGTTCTGTTAGATCAAATGGCTTCATGACATGATGTCTGGTTTCAAGTTTTATCATTAAGTCAAGATCAAGGTTATGTTTTACTCCCTTAACTGACTTAAGGTGAGAATGTTAAATCAGCATTTCTAAATTATTCCCTGTTTTTTTAAAATGTTCTTGATTTGGTAGGCCTTTTTTCTTTGCCCTGAAAGTTGTAAAATACGCTTATTCCAAATATTGGCTATTTTCCTAATGAGAAGTCTAATTTTATAAACTTGTATTTCCCATAGGAGAGAGCAATAGGAGACTGAGTTATAAACAATTGATGTTGGTCATAATTGGATACTGTTGTGTTTGGATAGTTCAGTTTGGGGGTTGGCATTATGGCCTGCAATGCCAGCAGTCCATATGGGTACTTTTCAGGTCTTGGCAGTTCTGTTTCTTACCCAGTCCCTGGCTGATGGCCTGGGGAAAGCAGTTGAAGATGGTCCAAGTGCTCGGGCGCCTGCTTCCCACACGGGAGATACAGACGAAGCTCTTGTCTCCTGGCTTCAGCTTGTCTGGAGAGTAATCAGTGAATTGAAAAGCTCTCAAATAATTTTTTTTTTAAAAGAAAAAGATAGCATTGGGCCCAGCATGGTGACTTAGTACTAAAGTCCTCATTTTGAATGTGCCAGGATCCCATGTGGGCGCCGGTTCCAATCCTAGTGGCCCCACTTCCCATCCAGCTCCCTGCTTGTGGCCTGGGAAAGCAGTTGAGGTCAGCCCCAAGGCCTTGAGACCCTGCACCTGCGTGGGAGACCTGGAGAAAGTTCCTAGCTCCTGGCTTCAGATTGGCTTAGCACCAGCTGTTGTGGTCACTTGGGGAACGAACCATTGGACAGAGGATCTTCCTCTCTGTCTATATTTTAAAGATTTTAAATAAATCTTAAAAAAAAAAGAAAGAAAAAGGTAGCACATTTCTTTTTTACAAGGTTTACCGTGATGTCATTTTTGGTTCATATTGTCATGATTCATTTGTAAATTTTTTTAGATTTGTTTTATTGGAAAGGCAGATGTACAGAGGGGAGGAAAGGAGACAGAGAGGAAGATTTTCTGTATGATGATTCACTCCCCAACCGGCTGCAATGACTAGTGCTGCGCCAATCCGTAGCCAGGAGCCAGGAACTTCTTTCTTATCTCCCACGTGGGTGCAGGGTCCCAAGGCCTTGGGCCGTCCTTGACTGCTTTCCCAGGCCACAAACAGGGAGCTAGATGGAAAGTGGGGCTTCTGGGATTAGAACCGGCGCCTTATGGGATTCTGGCGCATTCAAGGCAAGGACCTTAACCATTACTCTTTCACCCGGGCCCTCATTTGTATTTTAATATGCTAATTTTCCTCTCCGTATGAATCTCCTTGGTTTACTCTAGTAGTTAGTGATGAAATTAGCAGGGTTTTTGTTGCTGTGCTTTTGTGAAGCAAACTGGAATCCGAGATCATTTTTAAGTTGAGGAAAGTTTCTCTGGAAACATGTGGGAGTAGCTTCTTTTTCATCAGAGGCCCTGCAGTGTCGTTCTGCTGCCAGGCAGGATCTCGGGCTTCCCCACGTGTTGACTGCTCAGCAGCTTTTGTGTATTTGTGACTGTTTCAGGAGTCAGGTTGCATATATGTTTTCATTGCTGAGCTCTGCTGCATGACCGTGGTGACATTTTGGAAGCACTTGGGTATTAGCTTCACAACTCAAAATCTTTATTTTTCTATAATATCTTAGAGATTTTTGAAGTGCTGAAAGTAATTCTTTCTAACTACCCTCACAGCTCTTGTTTTGATATTTTACTTCTGTAGCTGTATTTTTTTTACATCTCCAATATAATATAAAGCAACCAGTTAATTTTTCCTGAATTTCGTCATCTCTTGCGTATTTCACTGTTTCTAAGGCATCCTCCCCTCCTTTTTCCCTTCACATTTAAGCAACTATGAAACAAGGATGCATCTTTTGATTGAGGACTTATCCTAGTTTAATTGGCAGCATTTCTTCTTATTTTTTTAAAGATTGATTTATTTTTATTGCAAAGTCAGATATACAGAGAGAGGAGAGACAGGGAGGAAGGTTTTCCATCTGATGATTCACTCCCCAAACGGCCTCAATGGCTGGAGCTCCGCCAATCCAAAGCCAGGAGCCTGGAGCCTCTTCCTGGTCTCCCACACTAGTACAGGGTCCCAAAGCGTTGGGCCATCCTCGACTGCTTTTCCCAGGCCACAAGGAGGGAACTGGAAGGGAAGTGGGGCCACTGGGATTAGATCCGGTGCCCATATGGGATCCTGGTGTGTTCAAGGCAAAGATTGTAGGCACCAGGCGTCTTGTTTTCTTAATGTCCCAAAAAATTAACAGTGTGCTGGATTTTATAAAATGTGGCCATTCATTTTTGTTTTCTAAGGAGAGAGAATGGAAGGTGATTTGTTAAACCTTGAATATGCATTCCTTGTATTCTGTGAGTTTGTTTCATTTCTGTCCTAATCTGTTCTATGCAAATTTATGTTTCAACTGGTTATTTTATTTATTCATTGTCTTTCATGAGTGTAAGTCACATAACTGATGGAGGATAGCAGAGTTTTCTTAATCGGTACTCTACCGAAGTAAGCTGGTCCCCCAAAGGATAGATATCAGATTTTTCCTGATCTGTTATAACTCATAGAATACAAAAAGGTAACCTGAGAGGGAGACTGGCCTTTTGAGATTTGATTATTGTTCACAGTCTTTGCCTATATTGTCATTTTTCCTGTTTGTATTTTTTGTTTTTCTTTTATTTTTTAAAAGGATTTATTTCTTGGGGAACAGTAGGATTTTTCTTGTTTTTCACTTGTTACTTGTTGAGTCCTTTGTCTCATGGAGTGTTAAGTCTGTGGTCGTGAAGTGAACCGAAAGTATGCCAATTATAAAAATGATAAAGTGATGGAAGGCAGGCGGTGGGTGGGTCACGCAGGCAGGAGGGATAGTGGGGTCAGAAGCAGCCTTAGGCTCCTAAAACCATATTGTGAAATAGGTGAACTTTGTTCACTTTACACGAATATATAAAATTTAGAGAATGAAATAGACCTACACAAACACAGGTGTTCTCCTTTGCTGAGTATCTCCGAGTGTTACCGTCTACCTGGTCGGGCCGAGGCAGCTCTCTTTGCGGGGAGTGAGGGTTCACTTAGGGCTTTTGTAAGAGGAATGCAGATTCGGCATTCAGCTTTAGCTACCAGGGTCCGTGTTTAGTGGTGGTACCAGTGTGGAAAGCTTGATTTGGGCAAGAGAAGGACAGATTTCCTAAATGTCTTTAAAGCTCAGGAAGTTAATAAAACAAAAAATTTGTAGGACTTCTGAAAGATGTGGTTGCTCTAGGAAGAAAGATCTAGATTACAGCATGTAGAAGCCCACCCACTGGGTTCAAGGGGTAAGGGTCTTTGCTTTTTTTTTTTTTAAGGTTCTTGCTTTCCATCTTCTTCAAATTGTGTCCCTCCAACTGGTAGAACATGGAAGCATTAAGAAAGGCGTGGAGGAGTCCGGGAATATGTGAGCTGAAAGGCAGCAAAGCACGAGGGAGGCCACCACCCCTAGCTCTTGGTCAGCTTCCATGGTTAGCTCTGGGCCATGACCAGAGTAGAGAGAACAGTGGCATGGA